TATATATATTCTAGTATATATATATATATATATATATATTCTAGTATATATATATATATATATATATATATATATATGTATATGACTTTTTTAAATAGATATGATTCATATATCTGTCTTTGCTAAAGTTGGCTTCTGCAAGAATGCCGGATAAAGAATGCCAGCACAACTGCCCATCGATGTTTTTATTCCTGTGCTATATATTCTCCAGCTCTGCCAAAAATTGAACATCATCATGCAGGTCGTTCCATCAGCTGATGAGGATTAGAAATAAGAAAAACCTGCCAATACTTTGGATGATAAGTATGAAACAAAAACGAGTTACCCCCAGGAGTCATGAAACAGTTACGCAGTCTCTAGTGAATGAATAGGAAGAGTGCAGCCATCCTGATCAATAAACTATAACTTCATTGATTAAATCTTGAATTAAGAAAACAAGTACAAGCAAAAGTGGAAACATTATATTGTAGAAAGCAGATTGGCAAATGCCCATAAATAGGCCATGTCAATAGTGAATGAATTCTACTTAAAGTCTTGATGATAAGACATATATATATATATATATATATATATATATATATATATATATATATAGACTCAACAACATATATATATATTCCAGTATATATATATATATATATATATATATATATATATATTCCATTATATATATATATATATATATATATATATATATATATATTGTGTGTGTGTAAATTACTTTCAAATAGAGTTAATCTATAAAGGAACAAAATGAATAACAAGAGGCAAGTTGAAAAACTATTCTTAGCCAACATCCTCTGAGGGACATTATCAAGTCAATGTAGGATTTGATTTTGTTTCCCATGTTAACATACAAAAGTGAGGATGTCATTGGCTTATCAAGGCTTTTAAATTTGAGAATGTTCATGAATGTTCATCAAGTAGTTGAAAGGTCAAAGTTCAGTGAAAACATGTGGAGGATACAAAGTGTCATAATTCAAAGACTGGTAAGACAAAAGTAAGCGAGTAATATTCAAGAAATTTTATTTATTTATTTTTTTAAATGAATATTGTTTATATTGTGATTAGGTTATTATGCTATAAGATGGACATATGTGCTGTACATCTCCAAAGGCATCAAGTGATGGATTTAACTATTTTCTTTTGATTTTTCAATATATTTGTTGTTGTGTATGTTGGCTTGGAAAGTAGTAATTCTTTCAGGAAAGGTGAGATTAAGAAAATACAGGGACATACACACACACAAACACACACACAAACACACACACACATATATATATATAGATTTCATAGGTTGTGTAATAAAATTGATATTTATTATTGATATGTCCCGGAAAGTGTTATATTTGATTGAAGTAGCTAAGTGGGTTTGGCTACTGTAACCAAGTAGTACACGGTAGCAGTAATCGACTGGTACTCATTGTAGTCGCAGGTAATAGGTGTAGACCAATAGAATAGCCAATGGTGTAGTCCAATGGGCGTCATCATAGATTTAACTCTGTTGTACCTACACATCTGTCTGTATTTATGACGGACACCAGCCAATCATATTCCAGTGAGGGGGAACTCAGGTGTATGCATATTCCATTATATCAATTATATATTAACTTTTTGACTGAATTGAAGAAAGAAGAGATAGATTTTAATATTGGAATGTCTTTCATTTTAATCATATATATATATATTTTGTAAAGTATATCTATTGGATGCTTTAGTACACATCATCAGTGATGTTTCCATTCGAGGTTCATTCAGAGTTTCGGGTCTTTCAACATCATACACCCTCTCCATGGTGACTCAGCTGATACTGATTGGGTATCGACTTCTGCACCTTCCGTCAGCTACAATTTTTTCCATCTTCCAACATGCACACCATGCGACTCTTCTTGGCAATTTATTGTCCAATCCCATGTGACTTCTGGTTCACTAGCAGTCTACGCTCTTCCATAAAAAAGGAAGGAAATACAGCCACAATTTCTATCTGATCAAGAATATGGCGGTGTGTTTGGCTTGAAGTGGTAAGTACAGGTTTGATCCCCACTCACTGAGACACACACACACACACACACACACACACACACAAACACACACACACACACACACAGAGAAACGCATTCAAACATCACATTCCGCTTACACTTATCCCCATTTTTCATTTAAATAAATAAATAAAAATAAAATAAAATTATATATGTTATATAAACTGCAACTTCTTTTCATTTCCTTACTGACTGCTAATCACTTGATCTTTTCAACCAAAGTCATCTAGAAGCCTCTTCCGCTGCCAGTGTTATTGAGCAAAACCTGTTACACCTAATTTTGGCAACATCTTATATAGAGACCGCCCAGCAAAGTCTCTGCAACTGATTTCAATCGGTTTGCACTGAGCTCGCCAACTGTGTCTTTTACATTCCTCTACAATCAGTAAATATTTCCCAAACTTCCTTTTGTGGGCTTCGTCCATATTTTCTTCCCAAGGGACTGTTAATTCCAACATGATGATTTGCTTGGTCTTTTCAGAGTAAATAACCATATATATAAGGAAGAGATTATAGTTTTTCCAACAAGAGATATATTGGCATAATTTTGAACTAACCTTGATTACATTTGTAGATGTGTTGTGATACAAAGAATTTTCTGTTGTCTGGTAATTTGATGTTGCTTTTGTGAAAGGAAAACTCCGTTGTTTAGTGCTTGGCTGATACCTATATATGACTTCTTGCAATTTGTGCATTTGAGTGCATATATCACATTTTTGAAGTTGCAGTTTAAATATTTATTTATTGTGAATATTGTGGGGTTTCAAAAGTATCAGAGTTTTCTTCTATAATGATATCACAAACCCCACATTGTTTTTATTGCATTTTGTGACCCCTCTGTATTTTGTTGGTTAAATTTGGATGAGGTTAATGTGTGTTTCAGGTTTTTTGATTGACATTTGCTTTTAATTATTTTGGCTGTTTTTAGTAAATTTTTTATTTTGTCATTCTTGTTAAGTAGGTCTAGATTTTTTGTAATTTCTGTAAATAGTTCTGGATTGTCCTTGTTGTATGTTGAGACATATGCTATACACACACACACGCACACACACACACACATGCACACACACACGCACATATATATATATATATATATATATATCTTATGCAGTGTTACATTAGAACATGCACATATCCTCTACAAAATTGTACATTTTCGTTTCAACATCAAAAAAGTGAAAACCTGTTTTAGATGTCTCATCAGGTGGGGAATTACAATGTTACTCTCTCTCTCTCTCTCTCTCTCTCTCTCTCTATATATATATATATATATATATATATATATATATATATATATATGTACCACATCAGAAACACGATACCTAAAGTTTAAAATGAATTATTAAAAAGGAAAAATCTTTCTTGAATCTCTTATTTTAGTTTTAATTTCAAGATAATTGATTTAATTTAATATTTCCAATAAGCAAGATACTTTGCTGATATTTCAAATCTATTTTAAATTAAGTGGATATAGTTTTCATTTTGAAACTGCTAAAATTGTTGATTTTAGTGCTATTTTTAGCAATCTTGCATTACAATGGAATTATATTTATTGAAAAATTCTTCAAAATTAAAATGTACTTTTCTGAAGCTTTCTTTATTGGATTTGAAACAAATATTAGTTAAAAATATCATAGAAATTGTTATGATGTTAATTTGGGGTTAATAAAGACAAACGCCAAATAACATGTAACAATAAAATGGGGTTTATTCGGTTGGTAAGTTGGTACAGATATCGCCTGAGTAGTCTATAACTAACTCAGCTCAGAACTTCTTCTACACTGTCTTTTGATATGCCACTTTTTAACGTCCTTGTTTGTAGACGAGTTCATCTTCAAGAGGGGTGGTAGGTTCCTACACAACAGAAATAGAATTAGCTGTTTATTTAAGGTCTTGACAGATTAACAGTTCGACTGACTGGCTGAACTGTATCTAATTTTTTTTACAGTGGACATATCTATAAGATTTACTTGAGGAATGTAATGTGAGCACCATTTTTATATAATTTTTTTAACTCCCCAGTAAACTTAAAAATTTAGGAGAATATCTCTGTATATATATATTCTATATATGTAAGCAAATATATGGATATAGATCCGACAGTATGAAGAAAAATATACGGAAAAAACAAACAAAAATCCTTATATGCGATTATGCTGTTTTAAATGTTAATATAATGTCAACGTCGGACGTTTTGATCTAATAAACCATCTTCAGGACATATTCATAAAATATAATTAACATTATCAATTCAACATGACAAAGACGATGGACATAAGAACAAGACTTATCCAAACAGATAACTGTATGTTTTATAAGATCAGCACTCCGTTTAAACATCGTCATGTTGTCATCACGTGGGTGACGCTGTGAAAATGTATTCCTAAAATTTGAGTATTTTGAATGAAAAATGAAAAGAATTCTATTTTGATCTAAAATTTATATGTACGCTTGTCAAGAATTAATCTCGCTAGAAAAGGGGAAATACTAAAGAAGCCAGGTCTAGTATTCACCGTGCGAAAACAGCATAATTGCATATAAGGATTTTTGTTTGTTTTTTCCGTATATTTTTCTTCATATTCTATATATATATATATATATATATATATATATATATATATATATATATATATATATATATATATGTATTCTATAGGTACTTTAGCTTTAAATTGACTATAGTTATTGCTCTTATTTTCTGACGATATTGTGTATTGGTATATCCAGATTAACAAAAATCAACATGTTTATACATACAAAAAATATTTCAAAATTCTTTTTAAAATATAAATACTAAGTTTTTCCACTTATGATTAGTAAATATTGTTTTTATCTAATAATAATATTACCTAACTAGGACTAAATATAAAAATTTAAAAGATTCAAATTTTTGTAAATTATAATTAAAATTTAAAAAAAAATAAAAACAATTCTTGTAAAAATTAATTTTTCATCAAAAAAATAATTTCTTAAGACAATATTATCCATAATATATCTTAATCATAAAAGCAAGTAAAAGCTTATTGAATAATATCTAAGTTTTATTGTATTTTTTATTTATGAATTAGAGAAGATTTTTTGGAATCTGGATAAAAATCTGAAAATTATTTGATTTTTGCAAGAATTTCCAAATTGGTGTGTTTTTCACCACAAAAAATAAGGCTAAAATTTCCTGTACTAATCTTTGTCCCCAACTATATCTGACACCAAAAATTAAGATTTTTAACCAAAATTTTATTTTATAGATTATGCAAAAGCATACACTAAATAAACGATGAAGACTTGTTAGAATTGCTTAGCAACCTTGACGTATTTGGGAAAGATACAAGAATAATCAAGAACATATACTGGCAGCAAACTGTTTGCATGTGGATAGAAAAAGAGTTCAGCAGATATACAAAAATAGAAATGTATATAAGATAAGGATGTATTTGCTCACTAGATTTATTGTCACTGCTGACACCGTAGTTTGAACATAGATCACCAGTGAGCAAATACAGGTGATCCCATTTGGAATAAGTAGATTAAGTGATATTAAAGGAAATGCATATATGGGAATTAGCATGGCGTCTAATTGATCACCATTTCTACTCTATCCTCTATTTCTATACAGATCATTATTTTTACACTATCCTCTATTACTATATGGATTGCTATTCTTTATACTATTTACTATACTATTTCACTACACAGATCATTATTCAGTGGTTACTGTTCGAGTGAGTATTATCGAGCAAGTACTATTAATGTGAGTATTGTTCGAAGGCATCTGACACTAGTATTGTTCAATGGCGTACAATAGCTGTATCAGTGATTATAAAGTCTCTACTACAATGAGCATTACAAAAGTGACGAGTATTTGTTGACATCACAAAATTTATTTAACCTATACAGTAAGGAATTTCTGAGAGAATTAGATGTCCTACTAGGATTCATTTTTAACAAACACAATCTTAACAACATAAGATATGCAAATGACACAGTGTTGATAGCAGACACGGAAAGAAAACTACAAAAGCTCCTGGAGAAGTTAGCAAAGGAAAGTGAGAAGAAAGGACTAAACATCAACTGCAATAAGACAGAATGCAGGGTTGTTAGCAAAAGGATGTTCCCCAAAATGCAAATTACTAATAAGAATTGGCAAAACCAAATGAGTGCGGAAATTTAAATATCTAGTAAATATTTTGATAGAGGAAGGAAAGTGTGATGCTGAAATCTGAAGATGCATTGGGATAGCAAAAGATGCATTCCAAAATCTAAGCAGAGTATTAAGAAACAGGAAAACTTTGTTAGAAATAAAGAAAAGAATACAAAACTGTTACATGATATCTGTCCTGGACAATCTCCTATAGGATGAAGAAGAGACTTGAAGGCACATTAATATGGTTCTACAGAAGAATGCTGAGAATACCATATATTGAGCATGTAAACGACAATGAGATTTTAGAGAAAATAGAACCAAAGAGAAAACTTATACTTAACATCAGCAACAAGACAGTTGAAATTTCTAGGGCACATAATGAGGAAAGAAGACTTGGAAAATCTGATACTCACAGGGAAAATTAAGAGCAAGGGGGACAGAGGAAAACAGGGCATAACTTATTTAATGAGCATGAGTAAATGGATGACAGAACAGGGTTTAGCAGAAATAACAAAAAGACAGAACTGATTAAAAGTAACAAATAACAGGAAATTGTGGAGAGCCATAATCACCTATGTCATGAGGGGACAGAGCACATAAAGAAGAAGAAGAAAAAAAAGAAAAAAAACATAATTAAAAATATAATTTAATAATAAAAAAATTCTTTCCTCTTAACAATAACATAAAGATTTTGACAATATAACTTTGTTTCTGTTAATATTTTTTTGCATCATGTTATGCTAATTTTTTTTTTAGTGGATCAATGTTATATATATATATATATATATATATATATATATATATATACAGGCACATGGCCGAGTGGTTTGAATGGGGTTGGGGGTTGATCCCATTATGCGGCACATTAGGAGAATGCCTAAATGCCTAAAAACCATACCATGGATCAACTCAAGCCTTGTGAGTGAAACTGGGTAGACATAACCGTAGTTGTGCTAGCACAAATTCACAAGTCATCGTGACTGTGGGCTTGACTATGCTGGCCTTGTTCAGATTGTTGATCACGTTAGAAAACACACTCTTTCCCAGAAACTGTAACTAAGATCTATTCAGCATAGTTGTAGTATAAACCACTGGGTGTTGAATAAACACAAATATGCCTGAGCAAGCGTCAGCAATAGGGATTGGCTAGCTGACCTAGTAGATTAGTAGATGGATATTCTTGTATACGAGTGGCCAGCAATACACTATATATATATATATATATATATATATATATATATATATATATATATATATATATATATATATATAATGCCACTGATTCACTAAAAAAATAACATACCATATATATATATA